CCCCGACCATCCCCACCCGACCAATCCTTTCTCCGCAAACGTTTTTCATATTATTTAATTTTCAAATTATCACCAATAATAAAACATATGTTATCAATATATTTTATTATTTTTTTTTTGTTGATCTTAAATTATAATTTACCGCTAATCTGGGATCCCCCGTATATTCACCAAGGACACACCTGTATAAATCCAATTACCACATTGCGGCGCCAACCTTTGATCTATGCCGACAAAGGACATCGACTTTCTCACTGTCCCTGAAATTTTCCCAGTCTAAACCGTCGCTATACCTACTGCTATAAATATAGGTATTATAAATGAAGCGTATAAATGCAAAAACAGACATTTGATGCATAGGTAGTTTTGAGTAAAACGCAAAAATCCTGCCAAGATCTAATCAATCAACCTGCAATTTTGACCAAAAAGTGCCTAAATATTAATAACGAAGTTGGTTCTTCATCCAAAAATATACTGAATGTTAGTAAAAAGATATTTTGTTGAGAAAATTACATATGTCTTGCTTTGCAGTTGAGACTTGCAAAAGTCTGCTTGTGCATCTAAGGTAACTCCAAATGTCTGGTTTTGCATCTACATTATTGATATTATAATGTCCATTATTATGGTAATAAAATTTGGTGTTGCAATAGAAGAAGGTTCCAAGGAAAATAATTTAAATATAAAAGATTTTTATTTAAATGCTGTTTAGGACCACAGATCGGAAAAATTAATAAATTAAACTCTTAAATCAGTGTTTTCTGTATCGCTTAAAATAATCATATCATCATCTTCATCACGATGATTTTCTACCGGATTACCTTTTTTTTTTAAAGCGTTTATGAAGAAATAAAGACGGTCTGTTTTTTTCCCAATCCCCTTGGTTTATTTTAATAATACTTATTATTACACACGAATTTCACGTATTTATTAGGTACACTACGTTCTGGTTTCAGCTATTTACTAACAACACAAACACGATTGCGAAATCACGTGATTCAAAATCTGCAACCTGATTTGTCCAAATGCAAATGTCTGCTTTTGCACGTAACATGTGTGCGCAAATGTCTGCTTTTGCATTTAAGGCTAAATTTTGTATGCCAATAACAGCTTTAAATATCTGTTTATGCTCCTAAGGGTCAGAAAATCATGTCCCTGGTAACTTTTACATGGAGAATCCATAACTCATTTTTTTAAAAAATGTCAAATATCTGCTATTGCATTTGTACGCTTCAAATATAAAATGTAAATATACGTAAAAAAATGATTGATATATAGATATACAGGGTGTCACCTAACGAATGTTACATACTTTGGGGGTGTTATCTAGAACCCAAATGGTATCGATTTAACCAAACTTGATTAATCGAAAAATGTTGCAAAAAATAGTTACAGGGTGTTAAAGTTTCTTTTTTTATTTCTTGTTTTCTCGTTAACTCAGAACCCAGTTCATGGGCGTAGGTAGCTAGGGGGAGCAGAAGTGTGCACGGCCCACCCCAGAAAAATAATCTAATATCATCTTTGTCATATCGGTAAGTCCGTCTCTGCGCGGCCTCTTTTTTTGGAATCAAATCAAAACGTATTGAAATTTGATATTGGTAAACGATTGACTAGCGGGAAGTCTTTTTTTTTTCTGAGGCTTCCTAGAGTTTGCAGGCCTGGGCCCACCCCAAGCAAAAATTGTAGCTACGCTGACCCAGTTAACCGATTTGAGCAAAATTTGCTGTTATTTAGTTTCTCTTCATGAAGTATGCAGTGATTATGTTCCTATTAGGTTAAATCATACAGGGCGTTCATTTTGCTACAACCCTTTGTGAATATTCTTCTGTAACTTTTTTCTACATTTAAATTTTTACACTTAACTATCAGAAATAGGTAGAGAATTTTATTCTACACAAAAAATGTATGCCTATCAAAAGTCGAAATTATGCTTGGTTATGAAGATATTAGACAATATTTATTAACACATAGGTACCCCATAGTTTCGTTTAAGCAAGTTCAAGCAAATCAACGTCATTTGGGTTCTAGATTATACCCTTGAAGTATGTAACATTCGTTAGGTGACACCCTGTATAATTTTTACTTTTTATTTTGTATAATTATTTATTACTAGCTGTTTACTAGGAATTAGCGTGGTGTAATACAATATCAGCAGTTAGCAATCTTCTTTGTCTGAGCTCTGTGTTGGATATATTTTGCGTAGAACATTGTTTGACATCATTTAGTAAAATTTTTTAGAACAAATTTCTTTAATTTGTTTGAATTAGTCTTTAAAATACAAAATACAAAAATACAAAAGCTAATAATAAAATACATGTTTTTTTGAGAAAATACATATATCATAATATTACATCTCAAATGTCTAGAATTGCGAACAATATTTATTAGCTATTCGGTTTGATTTGGTAAATCTATTAATCCATTTAAATTTTTTTTTAAGAATGCCGCTCTTAGAGAAAGCAATCATAATTTTGTTGAAAATGTTTATTACAAAAAATCCAGAATCCAGTCTAGAATGAATCTGCTCTATTTCAAAAATAGCTTTCTTATTTGAAAATAAACTTATTTAGATTAGATTATAGTATATTACGTAATAAATAAGTGTTGTAAAAAGCATTTTACGCACGAATGGAAAAGTTACGTAATTCTATGCGTGCGTAATTGCATTACACCACATATTACGTACTATACTTTACCTACGCCACTACTGTAAATACTTAAAAACACAGCGTCTGCGATCAATGTAAGATTCCTATTTTACGTACGGTAAAAAAATCGCACAGCTTGGTAAAAAAATCGTACAGTTTTCCTAGCAACAGCCTAGCACCGGTCAATACAAACAGTATTGTATTGACCGTTGCTAAGCGGTTGCTAGGAAAACTATGCGATTTTTTTACCGTACGTAATAGGACATTCATCGCAGACGGTGTGTTTTTAAGTATTTACATTAGTGGTCGTAGATAAAATTACCTTATAGTCCAACCACTTGGAGAAAAAAAAATTGTTACCTGGACTTTTATAAGTGGAAATGGTAAAAGGGCTTATAATAAACCTAAAAAAAAAATAAATGCATGAGCAGGGGCGGCGGAGGGTTGATTTGGGGGGTTGAAAAGTTATGAAAAATTGTATCATTAGGATTTCTGGCGAAAGTTGACGTCAAACAAAGAAGTATCCAATACAGAAGTTGTAGATCATGCAAAAATCTACAACTTCTGTAGAGGTCACTTTTTAACATAACCTCAAAATTTCCGAGAAAAATGCGAAAAACAGTTTTTTTCTAATTTTTTGTTTTATATTTCTCATTTCCGCAAAAATAATTTAATTTTGACGAAACTTGGTGAAAGTGTACCTTTCTCTGTCTTAAATAACCTTAAATTTTTTTAGATAAAAAAATCAAGAAATTTCTGAGATATTAATTTTTTTCGGTCTGAAACACTTTTTTTTTTCAGAAAAATTCTACTTAATCGTACAGAGTTCTGCCGGTAATAATTTTTTTCATGTATTGACTTTTATACTGTTATGACTTCATGCAATAGATATTTTGAAAGCGTTCAGAGCCGTACTCAGAAAAATTTTTAAATTGTAGCTAAAACAAGCTAAAAACTTTTTACAATACACAATTAAAAATGACTAGATTTTGTCATAAAAATAGCAGCGATGTATTAAAAAAAATTAACCCGATGATGGCCCCTCAAAGACGACACGTTGGATTGCAAAAATGTTGACGCCATTTTATAGAGCGAAAAAAGTGGCATTGTAAATACGTAATTTATTTTAAAATTCGTTTTCAAATAGAGCCAGAAAATATTAAACAATTTAGCAAAATTTCGGGTTTTTCCGGATATCTCCGGAACTAGGTATAAAAAAACACTTTTTTCTAATCTGAGCCACCCCGTATTTTTTACCGTTTCCTAGATCCTAATGCTATCCCATCCTTATCTTGGACACACTGTATATCTATGAATTCATCAAACTTTAAAAAAAAAATAAGTACACTAATCGATCCTACGGAAAAAAAATTATTATTTATTTTATTTATTCACTATTCGACTTATAGCAATACTGTATAAAAATAGTTTTAGGTCAAACAATGAGACAGTTTTTTTTATTTTTTTCCGTAGAATTCAATAGTGTAATCAGTTTTTAAATATTTTTTAATTTAAACAAATTATCAACAATAACTGAAAAATTCATTGCTGGAAGTAATTTTTAATTTTTTTGCATTTTTGAGCATGTTCTTCAGCTGTGATTACAATTTTTGTTTATTTCACCAAAAAGCATATGTCAAAACGAAAAAAATGATTACGGCAGAATTCTGTACGATGAGTTTTTTAAGTAGAATTTTTCTTTGAAAAAAAAGTGTTTCAGGCCGAAAAAAATGAATATCTCAGAAACTTCTTGATTTTTTTATCTAAAAAAATTTGAGGTTATTTAAGATAGAGAAATGTATACTTTCACGAAGTTTCATCGAAATTAAATTATTTTTGCGGAAATGAGAAATAAAAAACGAAAAATCAGAAAAAACCTGTTTTTCGCATTTTCTCGGAAATTTTGAGGTTATGTTAAAAAGTGACCTCTACAAATAAATGTTGTAGAGTTTTGCATGATCTACAACTTTTGTATTGAATACTTTTTTGTTT